TGGTAAGTATTTATTCCTAAAATGTTATGAATAATAAATAAATAATAAACCAACAACAAATCACCCTCGATCTCCTTACAATAATTGTTTGTTTTGATAAAGGAAAACCAACATATTTACCGTTTCGGGCGCCAAACAACTTCTCTTAGCCGTCACAATGTTTCCAGCAGTCGAGAAACACCGTTCGGAACTTACTGACGTTGCTGGTATCCCTAAATACTTAACAGCTAAAACAACCATTAATGGATACTTCGTTGCACGCGTCTTCCACCATTCCAATGCATCAAAATCAAACCGTAATTGTGGTTCTGCCAAGTAATTTTGAAATTGAACTGTAGAATCATCTGTATTACAGTTGCCCTTATCACCGTATAGAAACGCAAGTCCCCCGAAGCTATTTTTTGTCTCAGATGTTTGAATTTGCATATCGTCATTATGTTCACTTATATCATCTAACAAACTCTTGACTCGGGTTCGAATTTCTTCTCTTGCATCTGCTGCCTCGTGTTCTAAATCTTTGTATCTTGGGTCGAGAAAAGATGCAATTTGTCGAGCAGACACAACACTAGAAGGATTCCAGTTTWACTTGAAACGGTCTTTTAATTCTTGTATTACAATGTATTTGAAATTTTGAGCAATTTCATCGYCATTTATCTGAGGCTGTAAATGCTTTTCTATAACAATGTTAAGGAGAGGCCTGACCATTGAAATTGAACAATATTTTTCACCACAAAATACAGTTGTAATTACTTGTAGAGGCTTAAGTAATTTAACTATAGTTTCTATAGCTGCCCATTGGTTCTCGGTTACTTCGAACTTTTGTGCCATTGCTGCTGTAGTAACTGTGCGATCAGCAAAGACATTTGATACTGGGCACCTATTTTCATAAGGTCGATCCAACATCATGAATACGGAGTTCCATCTAGTTTTACAACTTTGAATTAAACATTCCGTTGGTAAACCAAGTTGTTCTTGCTTAGTCTTTAAACATTGAGTGGCCACATTTGAATGTTTAAAATGACCAACGATTTTATTACTTAATTGAATTAATTGTTCTATTTTATCATATTTCAAACCATTGTTAATCGCAAGTTGTAAAGTATGCGCGGAACATGTAAGGTCATTTTTTTCTGTAATATTAGTAAGTAAATTGACAGCATTCAAAACATTTTTTGCGTTATCAGTAACTACTGCCATAACTTTTTGTTCGATTTCCCATTTACTAAAAGTAGTTTCCAACTGATTACTTAGATTGAGAGCTGTATGGCGGTCCTCCAATTGGTGAGTTGTCAGAGTGTAAGATTTTGGGCACCACTGGTCATCAATAAAATGTGCAGTAACTGTTAYATACGATTCTAGAGATATTGATGACCAACAGTCAGATGTACAACTTACACTCTTGGCATTTCTTAATTCTTTTTTTATTTGTTCTTCAACCGACGATTTAAATGCTTTGAGTCTTCGTTTTATAGCTCCTTCTTTACATATTAAATAATTTGGTTCGACGATAGCCATAAACTGTTTAAACCCAGAACTTGAACAAAATGATAATGGCATTTGGTTGATCGCAATCATTTTAGCTAACGCTTGGTGGATTAGTTCTGTTCTCTCAGAACTACAAATGTTATTATGCTCAAGGTTCTTATTCATAAAAGTTCTACGTCGTTTTCTGAGGGGTGGTTCACGAAATTCTGAAGATGAAGAACAATCGGTATTTAAATTATTTGAAGATGATGATGATGATCCA